ACAATGATTCTCTAGAGGTATATCAGTTCTACATTCTATTTGTCAAACAAAAAGATTTATATATTGTATCGAAATATAGAAAGTGCCCTATTTTGCGTTTACTATTTTAATTATCAAGAATATTATATATATATTATAATTATATATATTTTTCCTTCATTGTCTGTATTTTTCTCTTTCGTCCTCTCTCTCCCTCTGTCTTTTTCTTTCATTTTCTCTCTAGCACTATTTTTCTCTCTCACTCTAGCTGTCTTCTCTCTAGCACTTTTTCTATAATTCTATCTATCTCTTTATCACCGTCTGCCTCTAAAAGTTTATCAAGAGTTATCAAATTAGAAAATCTATATAGATAAATAATTACAACGATTTGTACTTTTCAAGCTATTTATAAATATTTTCGAATTAATTCCTTTATTTAGAGTGTAGAGTATTCTGCCAAAGTACCAACATTTCGCACAAAGACTTCTCTGACACTGTTTCTGTGTCAGGTAAGCTAACATTTTTTCTCAGCGTTACGCTCAGGTGATATCAGTTTGTTCATACACGCACACATGTTTACATGCATCTACACCAGCCTCACACTTACATAAGTATATAACCATGCATATACCAGAGTTCTTATCTAAAGTAACGACTATAAGATACCCCGGGCACAGCTCGCCAAATGCATAACCGTCTGCACCCTGCATATTATAATATTAAATTCAGTAAATGTTTATTACTTTTCTGGTTGCTAACCAATTACTTTGATGTTTATCTTTCGTGGGTACGGGAAAACAGTCTCTATATTGACTTAAACTCTTTATTATATGCTTAAAAGTCAGGCTGCTAATCAATAATTATCGATTTGTGTCAATTCTAATTTTAAATGTCTGTAGCTATTAAAGTGTCCGAAATTGGGTCGGAGATGGAGATGACACTCCGTTTACCGCTTGCACCAATTTCCTATACATAACTTCGAATGGTACAGGGTATAAAAATCAGCGCACCAAACGAGCTCTTTGTCAAGAATAGACAGATATGGTGGAATTGAAAACTGGTGTGTGAGTTTGTGGGTGTGTTTGTAACTGTGCATGTGTGTGTGTGCATTTTGAGTATTTCTTTTATTAGTGTTTGCGTGAGTGCTCGCGGAATACACTAATACCAGTGAGAGAACCCCACTAATAAGCAATACTTGTATGTGTGTGCGTGAGCGTGAGTGTATATACATGTATGAGTATTGAGGCCGACTTTTCTGTCTCTGACTCTGCTGTTGCTTGGCGTGTGTTGTTGCTGGTATTGATACTGGAAGTACTCGTACTCCAGTTGCTGCTGTTACTGTGGCTAAAGTGGCTGTTGGCTGTGTTAGCTGCTGAGCTGTCGCTGTAGCTGTCACTGCCTGTTGACTGTAGTTGACTGTTGGCTGACGGCGTTTACGTCAGAGTTACAAACTGTGCTTATTTAAGAAATCTAAAGCTAAAGCAAAGCAGAGTATATATTATACGCATACTTATCTACTTGTAATATAAATGCAGACAACTAACTGTGTTTCTCTACAATTGCACACCGTGTACGATTGATAAGATCGCCGATAAAAATGAAAAACGAGCATTACAAACTGAAATATCTTCGAATTTCTAATAAAACAGCCAACGAAATGTTTGCTTTTCCATAAGTGAAAATTTTTTTTTTTATTGTCTGAGAGTGGCTTATTTACTATGTTCTTGTGCTCCAGTGTCAGTGTATGTGGATGGAGAGATGTGTCTGTGTGTGTCTGTGGATGCTTTTATGTGTTTGCGTTAAAGCTTTTTGCTCTCCGAGCAAGAATTGAACGAAAAAGTGCGCTCGCAACAGTAACTATTAAATTTAAACAGATTTAACTACTGTGATTAAACTATTTACATACATATGTGTGTATGAAATAAAACGAAAATTTCTAATGAATCATAAATAAAGAGAGCAAGACGAGAGCGCAGCCAAACGTGACGCGGTCACAGAACGCAGAGTGTGTGTTAAACAGAGAGAGGGAGAGACAGGGAGAGAGCGAGAGAGTTCCTCGTTACTGAACTTGTGCAACAATCATCTTGCTGAGCGCGAACGTGAGCGTAAACCGACGTAGACGTAGTCTTTAGCAAATACCAAATACACATGCATATGTGCATGCATACATAGTACAAATGAACTTATATGCATTGGTTGCGATAGCAGTTACTTTTGCACAGGTGTATGTGAGCATTAGTGTGTGTGTGTGCGTGTGTCTGTATTAATGTGTACGCTCTCACTCTCCATCTTTTACGCTCTCAAAATTCATTGCTCTTTCTCGCACTCTGCTGCGTAGAAGTGAGTTTCTTTCAGTGTCACCAAACTCAGATTAGCTCTTGTCTATGAGTTGGCTTTTGTCGTAAATATTACGTTCGCTTTCGCACTCGCCATATGTGTACATACGTACATATATATTTGTAATTATATATACATATACAAATACATATATAAACAATCTTTCATGAGTTAGTGTAAGTCTCTGAGTGTGTGTCTTTTCGAGGTTTTAATGCGCAGCAACAGCGACTTGTTGAATTAAATATAAGTATGCTCAATGGCAAAGAGACAACGCCAACAAACAAAGTGCCGTTCATTCAATCTTTCGCGGCGAAAGCAAGAGCTTGCAAGACCAAAAAATATTAAAACACATACACATGAACATTAGACAGCTTACACATACACTGCTTATGTGTCATGTGCAGAATGCAAGTGTATTGTTTTTAGATCGACTCTAAAAAAAAGCGTTTAACTAGGCATTAAGTGAAAAACAAAAAATACTATTTTTGTTTTTAAGTACTCAATTATATAACTATAAACAAAAAATATGATAATTTAATAAATGCTGATAAATCAGAATATAATATCTATATTTAGATTAATATATTACAAATGTGTAATCGTGTCTGGCTCTAATGGAAATCGGTTAACTGATTGCGCATTGATTAGATGTAGCTCGAGTTGTTTTAAAGGTGTTTAATCGACATTCACTGTTCGAAAAGTTTCGCCGCACTGAAAGTGCTTTCTCTTTGGCATTGTTAATAATAAAAGAATACAATTTGATAAAATGAACTCGATTTTTGATCAAAATAAAAACGTTTAAGTGAATTTGCAAAAAAAAAAAAAAAAAAAAAAATATCTATATAAATATAATGAATGTTGACATAGATATATATTGTATATATAGAATATATATAATAAATATCATTAAATAATTTTCTCGATGAATGCAGAAAGTCTGACTAAACTTCTATGATAAAAAAGAAAAAGCTAACTGAAAGCAGTGCAAAGTGCAAAGCAAAAAAAGTGCGAAAATTAGTGATATTCTAAAGGAAAAAGAATAATATACAAATGGATCGTGCTTTACAACCGGAAGCAGCGCCATCCAAAATGGAGACAACGGCACCGGACCTAAATCGCGGCGATGTGTCCCGCAAGAGCGTTCGCGTCTATTCAGCACGCAAAGGTTTGGCACCAGCGCCCCCCAATCTAGGGCTGGCTACAAGCAGCACCACCACCAGTAGCAGCAGCAGCACCACCAGCAACAATACCAACAACACCAGCAATAATAGTGAAAATAAGAACAACAACAACAACAACAATAGCAGTGATAGCGATAACTTGCCCCAGCAGCAGCCTCACAGAAGGCAAGAGTTTGCCAACAGTGCAACAATGACTGCTAAGGAAATCGATCTCAGCGATGCACAGCATGTGGACTATGATGCAGTCGTCGAATTGCGTCGGCCAGGTGATATAGCAGTGCCGCCGCCACGCGTTGCCGTTTCAGCAATACCAGCGCTACACCTGCAGAGCCAGAGCCGGCCAAAGGTGGCGCCACGTGTTCAAATGACCGCCGAAGATGATGTGGGCGTTGCTTTCGCCTTGGGCTCCATTGAGAAGCATATACTCAATGTGGAGGAGAGTTTCAAGCAGCAGCAGCTCAGTGAGCAGCAGCAGGAGCAGCAGGACCAGTCTCAATCCTCCATGGACGTGGTCATACGCAAGCAGAGCAAGCGCTACGGCGAGACAGAGAACTTGTTGCGGCCCGGCATCAGCGATATGTCGTCCGAGAATGACTTTCAGTATCTGGGCGGTCGTCGAAACAATCTGGACGATAGCAATGAGCAGATGATGACAGAGTTTCAGCGCGGCAGCGATGGACGCAATTCAATTGGTGCCTATTCCAAGAACTCCTCGGGTACGGTTAGTGGACGATCAGGTGGGCTGAAGGCCAAGCTCGCGCGCACTGCCTCGGATACGAAGAACACGGATACGGTGCTGGCTATGCGTGCTAATCTGAAACAGAAGGAGCATCAGCATCACGATGCCAACAAGCAGCAGCAGCAGCTGCAGCAGCCGCCTTGGCGACCGGCCAACAGTCAAGATCGTCCGGCTCCGACGCCAGCTGTTAGAACATCGGCAAGCAGAGGCAACAGCAGCTCGAGCGTTGTGGACGGAGGCTCTTCCTCCAAGCTGACAGCGACCACGATTTCGGCCAGCAAGCGACGCGAAGAGAATTTGCGCCAATTTGAGGCGCTGCTGGCACAGAAATCATCGCATCGTCATGGAGCAAGTGCAGCGGCATCGGGCAGTCATGCGACAACAGCTGCATCTTCAGTCCATGCAGCGGCATCGAAACGTCGCTCGGAACGTCCCGTTGTGACACCCATACCGCCTTTCAACTCTGGCCGCGCCGATGCTGGACCGCCGCCCGTCGAGCCGCGAGCCCCCAGCTCCGGGGCGGGACATCATCGAACGTCAGCTACCAATGCAGCTGTCACACGTACCAATGTATACGGCAACAGTGTTGCTCAGGTAAACCAATCTAAAGTGCAGCTCAAATACATTTACGAATTTTTTACAACTACCTTTAAATACCTCAGGGGCGGGGCGACTATAGCTCATAACATTCTATTGAAAGATCCACACAAATTGAAAATTACATATGAAACTAATTTGTGTTTTTGATCTGGCTCTTTTTGCAGGGATCCCCGAATCTGCAGATGCGAAGCAGTGCTCCGATGCGATGGCGTGCCACTGAGGAGCATATCGGAAAATATAAGCTCATCAAGACGATCGGAAAGGGAAACTTTGCCAAAGTGAAACTAGCAAAGCATCTGCCCACTGGCAAGGAAGTAGCAATAAAAATAATTGACAAAACCCAATTAAATCCTGGGTCACTTCAGAAACTCTTTAGAGAGGTAATCAATACATCCATAAATATATAGATGATCATTTTACTAAAAGAATCCATAATATTTAATACACAGGTTAGGATAATGAAAATGCTTGATCACCCCAACATAGTGAAACTTTTTCAAGTTATCGAAACGGAAAAGACGTTGTATCTCATCATGGAGTACGCATCAGGTGGTGAGGTCTTTGACTATTTGGTACTACATGGGCGTATGAAAGAGAAGGAGGCGCGTGTTAAGTTTCGTCAAATTGTATCGGCTGTGCAATACTGTCATCAGAAGAGAATAATACACAGGTGTGTAATCGATAATTAAGTTTCTATAGTATTTCTATAACCTGAATCAGTACGAGTCGGAAGTTTTATAGAAAATTAATGCAATATTTCATTTGTAAATTAAACTTGTCATATAAGTGCTATAAAATAAGTGATGATATCATCGAATTTGCATTCATTTCTCATAGACCTTATCAGACTTTAGGAACTCTTTTTTTCCGATAACTTAACGTGAAATTCCCGATTCGGAACCTAGGAAATGAACTGTTTTAAACTTTTATGATTCACACTCTGCATGCAACAAACATTGAGAATAGTTCAATTGTGTCAAACATATCTATTTATATCTTATCTACAAACTTTATCGACTATTATATGTGTGTGAATTGTTTACTTTTCTTAACAGGGACTTAAAAGCTGAGAACTTATTATTAGACAGCGAGTTGAATATAAAAATAGCAGATTTTGGATTTTCGAACGAGTTCACGCCCGGCTCAAAGTTGGATACATTTTGCGGCAGCCCACCCTATGCAGCGCCCGAGCTCTTCCAGGGTAAAAAATATGATGGACCTGAGGTGGATGTTTGGTCGTTGGGCGTTATATTGTATACGTTAGTGAGCGGATCCCTGCCTTTCGACGGTTCCACTTTGAGGGAGCTACGCGAACGTGTACTCAGAGGCAAATATAGGTAATGTACCGAGAAACCTAAAGTTATATATGTATGCATAGATATATATTAATATATTTTGTTGTTTATTAGAATTCCATTCTATATGTCAACTGATTGCGAAAATTTGCTGCGCAAGTTTCTAGTACTAAATCCTGCTAAACGTGCTAGTCTTGAAACAATCATGGGCGACAAGTGGATGAATATGGGGTTTGAAGACGATGAGCTCAAGCCATACATAGAGCCAAAACAAGATTTAGCCGATCCCAAGCGGATAGGTAAGACGGGTACTGTATACGAAATTCATTACTAATACTATTAACGAATTGTGTGTTAAAAGTTTTGCCTGTTGATTATTTTTGTATTTTATTACAATTGATGTACTTCGATATATCTACAAATATAGATATATCGTACTGTCGTGATGTGAAATAGTATTTCAATTTGAATATTTTGAATTTTTTGTTGTTGTATTCATATCTACATATATATACAGAATATTTCCCGTTTGTATACTTTATAATTTGAATTATTCTTATTTTGTATTTCTTGGCTGTTGTTAGTTGTTTGCTATATACATAAATACGTACATATTTGCTTAAAAATTCTCGATACAGCTGCGGGGGTACAAACCGGAGTTAAACACTCAGCATCGGCATCAGCATCAGCATCGATCCGACGCAGTGCATTTGACTTGATGTTAATGATGATCTTTTTAATCGGCGAATGGAAAGTGCCACACCAAAATGTATGCAATCCCTTTGTGGGAGAAACGTTATTTTGGAATGGCAATCATCATTAAATAAATAAATACTCTTTGTTTCTCTATCTCTTACAATTTCTTTATTTTTTTGTTTGCTTCAAATTATCAAGATCTGCCGGGAGAAAAAATGAATCATATCTCTTTATGAAAAAAAAAAAAAAAAAAAAATTATTTAATATTTTTCTATAAATATATTATATATTTTTTTTTATCTATCATCATTTATTCGAATTATCTATCTCCGGTTTGCGTCCTTAAATTCGATACAATAATGATAATTAATATGTACCTATGTATGATCATCAAGTTAAAGATCTCTATAAATATTTTGTTGTTATTTCGAAAAAATGCATGGCAATGTTGTAAACTTTTGTTATACTGTGATTAAACATACTAAACGAAAAACGAAAATTAATATGTAACTCTGCGAAACCTAAAGGCTTCTATAGAGCACACAATTCTGGCTGTACTCGAACAGTTCGCGAGAACTGTTCAAGCTAAAATGTTATGTAATTGTAATGAATTTGCATGTAATGTATACCTATCGACAATTTTTTGTATGTATCAAGCTAAATCGCATTTGCCTATATGTATAATTGAAGAATATAATTATTATTAAATACCTTGCCCAACATTTTCTTTTGATAAATTGTATAGAAGCTCTAGTCGCAATGGGCTACAATCGACAAGAAATCGAAGCGTCACTGGCTCAGGTGCGTTATGATGACGTATTCGCCACGTATTTGCTGCTGGGTCGCAAGAGCACCGATGTAAGTGTGAGGCGTGTTGTCTGTTTGATTTGTGAAATACCCTGGAATGATATATATTTCGCTTTCTTTATGCCTGCCTTCCTACCTGCCTGCCTGCTGTTGTACGTTTAGCCTGAAAGTGACGGGTCACGATCCGGATCATCGCTCTCGCTGCGCAACATCTCTGGCACCGAGGCTGGGGCCAATGCGGGCAATGCGGTCGTCCAAAGTCCCACACATCGTGGCGTACACAGAAGTATATCGGCGTCGAGTACCAAGCCAAGTCGTCGAGCTTCGTCCGGTGCGGAAACGTTACGTAAGTCCCATAATGGGGCTGCAATTTACTGAATGAATAATGAATAACATTTTTGTTCAAAATTCCCACAAATTCAGGTGTTGGACCCGCAAATGCCACAACAACCGTTACGGCTGCTGCAATAGGCGTGGCGCCTGTCAACCCAAGCAATAACTATAATGCTGTTGGATCAGTCGCCGATCGTGCATCAGTGTAAGTATTTACAATATCTATAGAGATCTAAAGACATTTGTACACGTAGGTCTTTCTTTCTATAAGTATGGGTATACTGAATCAAAAGTTTTCTCTATGGAAATCAATATGAAACTTAAATTTTTTATTTTATTTTGTTAATTAGATGAATGCCCTATTCAGGGTATTTTCTAGTTAGGCATTGCCGATCACAATAATATATTATATGTTAATACTTATATAGCTTTGTATATACGTATATAAATTTCTCTAGCCATATTATCGTCTGTCTGACGAAGTGTTAAGTCTTTTTCCAGACAAGTCTAAATCTGCTAAGATATATATTGATACAAATTTTTAGCATATTCATGTATTGATTCATGTGCTAAATTGTTAAACCACAGACTATCTAAGTACACATTAATAAAGTTAAAGTGTGAATGTAATTATCGTTTTATGTAAAACATTTCATATTTACTTAATAATTTATCATCTCTATTTACAGTGGTAGCAATTTTAAGCGTCAAAATACTATAGACTCAGCAACAATTAAGGAGAATACGGCACGGCTGGCCGCACAGAATCAGAGGCCAGCGTCTGCCACACAGAAGATGCTAACCACAACAGATACATGTAACTGGCTGTTTGCTTATCTCTATCTCTCGTGAATGACAATCGTTTAATCTATTTAATCTCTGTTTATTACAGCGCTGAATAGTCCAGCTAAGCCGCGTACAGCTGCGAAATACGATCCCACTAATGGCAATCGCACAGTTAGCGGTACGAGTGGCATTATACCACGACGTTCGACCACACTCTATGAAAAGACTTCATCGACGGAGAAAACCAATGTTATTCCTGCAGAGACAAAGTACGTGAATGTGGTAACACTTCTATCCATTGTTGGCACACCAATGATTATTTTCGATTATCATTTGCCTAATTTTCCAATTATGCATTAGTTCTTTGGTATTGTTATTGTTATTGTCGTTATTTCAAACTGTTATTCGTTGGTCGATTCGCAGTTTTTTTTTAGTTGGACAACCAGACAGACAGTTAGTGCCTCTCGCTCGCTAGTTTTATATATTATCATCAGTATATCTATATATATATCTATCTATATTTCTTCTCAGTTTGCACATATTTATGGTTAGTTTATCAAGTATATAAACAGATAATGTTATGTTGTGTATAGAGCATATGTACATATCTAGATTATCAGTATATATATTACTATATACATCTCTCTATATATATATTGCTGCGCACAAATTCAGTTTTTCCTATTTATTTCTAAGTTGCAAAACCGAAAATCAATTATCAAATATCTCTTTTGTTCACATATATCTAACTATATATTTTCGTAAATTGAGGTGTGTGGGTTATGTTTTTCAAAATGTATATGTTTAGTTTTAAAATCAACAAAAAAAAAAAAAACACAAACGATCAAAAATACTCAGCTCAATCCATTGCAACTCGAATGACAATGACTACAACATATTTACAACTTTTTGCCAATCTTTCGACTAAACATATATGTATAAACGTAACCAGTAGTGGATCTGCAGCTACCGCTGGAAAGGGTCACACAAAAAGCGCCTCTATTTCAAGCCCTAGGCCATCCACTGATGGATGCATATCAGTATCAATTGACCCACTTGGATCGAGGTATACACTTGCATCATACATTAGCAAAAAAAAAAAAAAACATTTAAAACTAATTTTTATCGAATTGTATACAAACAATTTATAATTGTTGTTAATTTTACAAAGACATTTTTTTATGCTCTTATCTAAAAACCAAATTGGCTGCTTAATTTTGATTAACTCTTTTATGATTTGAGTCAAAGGTTTTACATTTTGTTATGTAGAGCAGAATTAATTTGATTCATTTTTCAAATCTCTTAACACACTTGATATTGATATATAAATTGACGCAGGTATTAGTAGGGCATTTAGTAAATTCGAAAAGGGCGACGACGTGTTTGACCGTAGCTCTGTCCGACAGTCGAAATTTTTTTATTTGTATTTTTTTTTTTCTGTGCTCGTCCCAAATTCAAAAACTCACAATGTTGATTAATTAGTTTTTGACATTTGTCCTGCAGCTGAATTGTTGCATGTTTGCCTGCATCTGAATTCATTTAAGTGTGTGTAGTCTTTGACCTAATTATAATTATACATTTGAATAGAGTATGAATTTTGAAGAAACTGTTGAAAGTGCGATATTAAGGAACTTTGGAGATCGAACAGTCATAGAGTCAACACATATTTGAATAATAAAAATATTTTAGTATGTACTAAAGTGATGAGATAAAATTTTTAGCTAACCCAAAATTTTTTCATTCTGAGAATCATTATCTTTAATTAATTAAAAATTAAGTCAGCTTCCATACAAATGTTTGTAATGGAAATTTAGGTCTACATACATATCAAGTAGGTGTACTAAAATTCCCATAATTCACATAAATTAGTTTAAAGGCGAGGCCTTTCAAATTATGCTCTCAACTCAGTCCAGCTCTCCAAATCGAACAGGTGTACTTGCCGAACTATTTCATTATTTTAAGAACAGAGCAATTTTCTTATACAACAGATATGTGATTTTTATAGTAATTGGTTCACTTTCGTTTATGTGTAGAATTGCTTTACCTATTCAGTAATCAATAGAAATTTCTGTTATTCGTTTATCTCAAATGTGAATATAATAATATTCATGTGGTCTTCTCGTATAGTCTGCTTTTGTTTGTTTACGATTTGTTATGATATATACGTTCAGTTACAGATTTGTTGCGCTCTTTACTAATCCCCATTGAATTTCGAAAAAAAGAAAATGTAGAAATGTGTTTGGTTTAATTTGTTTATCTCTTTTTATTATAACACTCTAACAAATTTGATCCATTAAATAATGTAAATTTCTTATCTTTTCATGTTTTATACAATATTGAACAATAACTGTTTATAAACCAATTGTCTAATTTTGATAACTACCACACTACTACTACTACATACATCCAATCTTTGTGGCGATCAATCGAACAAAAAACTCTACAACAATCTTCTTCGTATTATCGGTGTTCGTAAAATCTTTTATCTTTCACATTTTGTTTACAAACAACAACAACAAATCAAATGCAAATCAAATCAAAATCTTGTTAAATATGTGATTTTTAATTCGAATTGTCGATTCGAATAAAACAATTAATTTTGGATTCGTAAACCCCGAACCGATCCGATCCGATCTGAACCGAACAAACTTTGGTGAGTGAAATTGCAAAAACAAAAATATATTTTAAGCGAGACAAATCTATAAGTATACTAAATAATTTAGCGTAATTCCATTTTAAATTGCTTTACACATATTGTGGCATGCGCGGTATTAAGTCCAAATAATATATATATTCTTCTTCTATTTGTTATTTTTGTTATACTTAAACCTAAACGAGATATTGTCTGTTAATGCGCTGAAACCAAACTTTATATGAATGTATTTATGTGTCTGCTTAACATTTGATGATGACAATGATGTAGGTAGTTCCTAACGAGATTTGCTACTCACATAGATCGACAACATAGATCACGTAAATTCTTCATTCTGCATGACTGAGGCTCCAGTTCCCGAGTAACTTCACTTCCGACAATTTGTACTCATTGGTAGATCGAAAAATACTCTCTCTATTATATATACATATATACCCATAAGTTGATGTTGTAAATTCTTTGTGCAAGAATCATCGATTGTGTCTATTTCTCTTTCCACATCTCTGTGTACCTATCTATCTAACTACCTATATAATATATTTTTTTTATATTTTTACTACCTCTTTTACTGGATCTCTTGAACACATACTTAAATACTAAGTAATACAGAAGACAAACTAATATAAATTAATATGTTTACTAGGCCCAGCTCTACTATAGCTGCTATGTATGAATGTTAAACAAAGTTAGGATTACTTAATTATAATAAAAATAAATATAATGGTATATGGTTTTCAACTAGTCTTGTCCATATATATACTTTGCTTATTGCTTAACGCCTAGTTCCTCCATCCATTATGTCAATTTTCAAAGCTTGAACGTTTTATTATCGAGTACATTTCATATATATCATCCATTTAAGGACTGTTTCAGACTTTACCGGATATATCCACTCAAAAAAAAAAAAAATTACTTTCGTCTGAACTCTTTTTGCTATTAGTTTCCATCATTAATTCAAATCTTTGCTTTAACCAACTTTATTATATAGCAAACTTCTAATTTTTAATTTAATTTCTATAATATAAGAATGTAATTTTAAGAGCTCGTTTTTTCTTTTGAACAAAATTTACATGATTGATTTTTTTAAAATTTTTTCTTTTCATTATATTTGTGTGTCTACCAACATGATTACAAAAATAAACCTAAAATATAAACAATCATAAACCGTTACCGAAAACCGTTGCCAAACCATCACATTAATCAAAATATATATAATCTGCTTGATTCGCGCTTGATTCTCGTCTGTATACATATTTTGTCATGGCGTCAAATTGAAAATACAAATTAATTAATTACGATCGATAACAACAATAACAAAACCAACCAAACAATGATACGATGAAACACTATTGAATACTTGCCCATCACTACGGATTGGAAAATAATCGAAATCGAAATTATAATCGAATTCATACGCTGATGATGACAAACATACATACACACATGATCGGTCTCCCACTTCACTCACACAAACACACACACACACACACATTAAAACGAATTTGAATTTGCCTGTCTATATTAACGGTCAAAACACACACATTGCACAATATATCAAATGATAAAACTATAAACTGTTATATATATATATATATAATATATATAAAAAATACATTCGTTTTCTGATATATGCAATTCATTGGACTATATATAACTACGAACTGACTGAATGATTCGATCGATATCCATTCATACGTATGTGTGTGCATACATGTATTGTACTTGTACATATATATATATATATGCGATATATACACAATATATATATATATATAGTCTGTTCGATCGACTTAGAATGGCATCGGCTGTTAAATCAAGCAGACACTTTCCAAGGAATGTTCCATCACGTTCAACCTTTCACTCTGGTGAGTTTTTCTGTTTTAATTATTTTTATTAGTTTTAGTAAAACTTAACTTAATTTTACTCACAACTTTACTAAAAAAAACAAACATTTTATATAGACTAAATTAAATAATAATATCGAATTACCAAACTATCGAATTTCGTTAAGTTTCCTTATTCCATATTTATTTTTTACTCTTTTTCATTAAATCATAAAAAGAAAAAAATATGTAAATTTTATTAGCACGTAAAATGAATAAAAAATAATTTTAAGTCTAAATTATATGAATGCTCCATTATTATTATTACTATCAATATAAATATTTATATTATTCTTATAATCATTCTTATTATTATTATTATTATTGTATGCTAATTTGTGCTTTGTTGTTGTCTTATGCATCCGCCCAACATCGCTTCTCATCTTTTAGTGGATTGCTTTTCCTTAATTTAATGTTCGTTTTGATCATGCACGATTGTCCAAATCGAAGAAGATGCATTGTTATTATACTATATCAATCATAAACATTATGATAATTGCACGTAGGTGCTTCAAGCCAACAACTATTTATAGTTTAATTCTAATGTACAATACTAGAAATTATCGATAAATATATCGTTTTCAATAAATCCTACGATAAATATTATGATGTAAGACGAAAGGAGAGAAGGAGTTATTTTCCAGTAGGTGAAATAAAGAGTAACTTAATCTGCCAAATTTTAAGATATATGATTGTACATATATTTAAGTTGAGCTGTAGAGTAGGTCAATTATAATCAAATTGCAGAACTCGTTAAAAGAAAGAATTTGGAAAACTAATTTAATGTTAGAGAATATCTGTTGCAGCGTTAATACGCAAATATATCATTTTTTCTTTCATTTGAGATTAGAGTTGAGTTAAGCTCACAAATAACTTTTATAGCTAATCAAGTTTAGTTTGTATTCTGGATTAAAAATAGATTTTCTTTGGCATTATATATTTATATAAAAATATATACATGTATTTATGTATCCAGTATATCTTTTTTATGTTTTCTATTTTATAGATTAAAGATATATTGTCTTATATGAATAATGAGTATAACAGGATATCAAGACCAATTACTCAATTTCACATGAACAGTTAAAAAGCTCTCATGATTTATATAATTTAAGTATATATAAATAACACACATAGTTATGATATTTCTACTAAAATAAAACTATTATTTAAATACATATATATACATTTATAAATAATTCTAATTGTATTAAATAGTTGCCTAAATATATTTATACATATATATTCTTTTCAATCTAGACTTAACTATCTGAAATTTATTGTAGTTCTGTGTGTGTTTCTAGTAAGCTTAGCCAGTGTTTATTTATATTATTTTAGCTATGCTTTATAACTAATAGAATTTTGTTTATTTTTGTAGGTCAAACCAGGGCAAGAAACAACACGGCGCTGGAATATTCCGGTACAAGTGGAGCCTCCGGTGATTCGCCTCATCCGGGCCGCATGAGCTTCTTTTCGAAACTTTCCTCCCGTTTTAGCAAACGGTAAGTGTGCCCACAGCATTTCATATCAATTTTATTTGATCTTATGTTTTTATTATTTTTTGTTTTTGTTTTTTATTTGTCGTTATTTCTTCTCTAAATATTACAAGAAAAGCAAATGCAGTTTACAAAAATATTAAATTCCAAAATTTTTTATTTGTTCATATTTCTTTTTATTTGAAATTTCTTTTTGGATACAATTATTTTGTTTCATATTTCATTCTTGCATATTTGCACATACACATATATGTACATATGTATGTGTTTATGTTTTGTACCATATCCGTTCTAATTTTTTTTTATATATTTTGTTTTCAATAATAATTCAAAATTTTAGGACAGACCCTAGAAGTTAAGTTAATTGAAATGTAAAACGAAAACTCGCTAAAGGCTTTCCATTTAATTAGTTACAAAATTAAAAAAAAAAAAGTTTAAAAATATAATATTAAAATCATTTTATTCTATTAACAACACAACAATAATAATATTACAATTATTTTATTAATTAAAAAAAAAAACAACTATTGAAAAAAAAATTAAAATTTTATCAAATATTGTAAAGTTTTTTATAAAAAATATTAAACGAAATTAAAGTTTATATAAATTGTGAATAAATTAAAATACTTTTACATTTTGTGACTAATTAAATAAATTTTAAAAGTAGTCAAAATGATTTCTTAAACGCCAATTCATGTAGAACAATTTAAGATATTTCCCGTTTAGGGAAGCTGAGCTGAAATCTGTTGTCATTTAGTAAACAAGAAAACAGAACTGGTCCAAAAAAGTTTATTTGCGATGTGCTGAAACGGAAATTAAAACTGGAAAGTTAAAATTGCAGAACTATATATATTTATCGAGAAAAATAAGTAAGAATATGCTAATGTGGAGGGAGGAGGAATTCTGACATTAACAATAATATTGTTTTTCTACAAATTTCAACGAATTATATTTTTCAATTTTATTGATAATATATATATATATATATTTTTTTTTTGATTAAAGATTTTAAAATATAGAATGAAAATTAATTTCGCTTTTCAGTCGGTTATTTTACATTATATTTCATGATGTTATTGTATATATTCTTAAATTATAACTTGATAAAACCATTTGTTGAATTGTTACATCAGATCTAAATTCCAATTCAGTACATCAAAAAACGGTTTTGGATTATTGTTTACAATTTTTGTAGTAGTTGTTTTTATTTAATTATACGACATAATGAATAAATATTTAAGCAGACATTCGAGGTGAAACTGAAATCCAAATTAGAATTTAAAACGAAATTTAAATTGAACTAAAAAGTATTTATTAGCTCTCGTTCCATATGGCTTACATTTGATATTGAGGGCAAATGCTTCGCATTTTTATACATTTTTTATTTTTCAGTTTTGCATGTTTATTATTTTAAATTGGTTTTCAAAATTCGTAATGCATTTTAAAGTTTTATTTTCGCATATAAAGAACAGAAAAAATATTTTTGGTTGCATGCAGTGTTTTTATTTTCTAAATAAAATGAAATTTTGAATTTTTAATTTTATTGTAATTATTATTATTTTTTAAAATTGTTTCTTATTTATTCTAATTCATTAAAACTAACAAAATGTTTAAAAATAAAAATATGAGCAAGTATATGTTAATATCATGAAAACAAAATACATATGGAATTATGTACACTCACACACATCCACAGGGGTAATTGGTTAAGAATAAATTCGAATATCTAAAATAAATAAAAAACTATATAAATACAAAATATAAATAAAAATAAAAACTTCGGTTCATTTGAGATTCTTTTAGACTTTGATCAAACTCAATTCGCGGATACAAAACAAATACAAAACTTCGCATACATACATACATATATCTATATAGATATATAACCCAAAATATAGTAATATATATATATATATATATACAGATCGGAATGAACAGCATCCAATTGGAGATCTGTTATCGTTCGATTTGAGATATATTCAATCGCTCTGTCGCGCGCTCTCCGTCACTCTTTTACTTTCTATTTATTGTTATGTGCATAAGTAGGGTATTAAGTCCTTTATATGTCCTTCACATTTACTTCTTCTTCTCCTTCTTCTTTATTTATCTACCCATGTTTGTGTATATACATTATCATGCCACTAATTAGGAGCCTTGCATATTGTTTACTGTCTGTGATTTCTTAATTTTCAAATCAAAATTAAAAGAGTATTTTTTTTTTTTTTTTTTTATGCAAAATATTGAGTATTTAAATTAAAAAATTGCGTTTACTTTTCTTTTTCCAAATATGTCAATGAAGAGAAAAGAACAAAAACAAAAGAAAACAAATGAATAAACAAATAAAAAAAAATGTTTTAAGTTCTATACATAAATTTTTGTTGGTTTTTAACATTTTTTTCCGTAAAATCAGTTTTGATTTCATTTCTCGTATTTGTTTTCTTCTTCTTCTTCTTTTTCTTCTGTTTCCTTTTTTTTCACCCATTATTAATATTTTTTCCAGCCGTGAATAATTTGTTTAAAATTTTTTCTTTAATTTTAGGCCAAACCAGTAATTAACAAACAAACAAAAACAAGCATTAACTACTTCTTGTTAATAGTTCTAAACAAACTGAAAACAGAAACAAACGATTCCCCCTAAAGTAAACGCTCGTGACGGAGAGATAACAGAGAGAGAGAGAGAGAGATACAGATAACAAAGAGAGAGAGAGACAGAGAGAAAGTTACAGTTATGATACAAATCGCGAAACAGATAAGATCAGAGATCAGAGCGGTTTTGATTCCTTCCGATTCGATTCGATAAGCCCCTCCTCCAAAAGAACGTCGACAACGTTGAGTTCCGTTACTGTTACCGTTACCGTTTACCGTTAATAGAAATTCACAAACAAAAAAAATAAATAAATCAAACAAAGCGTCTATGTTTTAATACAACATTATTAACTAATTATACTTACACATTTATATTAATTAAAAATACATCTATATATATAATTAAAGTAAACAAAAAGAAACCAAGCAGAAAACTTTTTTTCTTTGTTTGTAAATTAAATTAAATTTTAATTTCCATTTGATTTGCAATAAAAATAAAAAATTAAAATTTCAAATCATTTATGAAATTATACAACAACAAAATAGAACTGCTGCTGCGTCTTCTTTTTCTTGTTTTCTTTTGCTAAATGAAAAAAAAAGAAAAGAAAAAAATATTATTAATATTAAATGCGAAACGCAATATTTTAATTATATATACTATATATATAATATATATTTATATATACACACCAAAAGCAGCTGCGAGTTATATAAGAAAAAAAAAAAAAAAGAAATACAAATTGAAATTGATTGAAACATTTTTTTGTATATGTAGTCTATTCATGTATGTATGTATGTACGAAGGTATATGTATTTATAAACTGTTTCCGAGTATATCATACACAATCACAATCGATAAAAGTAAATAAAGAGTTTGATACAAAAAAGAAAAAATTAATTAATTAATTAACAAAAACTGATTATTATGAAATTGATGTTGGAAGTCTAAGCGCATCAAAGCAAGCGTCTTTTAGTCATTTAAGAGCAATGATTAAATTAGTTAAAGTATCTATATATATATATATATAAATATAAATAAATTGAAAATGAAAATGTATTAAAATAATGTGCATGTGTGAACATTTTATTTGTACAGCTGATTATTAACTGTAAATCGTGTGTTATCTTTAAGGGCACCTTCAGTGCTCTGACTTAGTTAATATATCTATTAAGCTTCAATGATGAAAAGAAAATCAACAACAAGAGTAACATAATATATATAATTAAATAAATAAATACATTTAATTAATTAGCAATAAATTATGTGGATTAAAATTTGTTAAAGAAAGCAAAAAGTATTTAAACTTCAAATCAATTTGACATTTTTATTTCTCCATTCCCCAATCCAACATCCATCATCTTAATATCATCCCGAGAATATTTAACAAAACTGGAATATATTCATATTGGTTTTTGTTTTGTGTTTAATAATAAGAAACGATAATAATTCTGAATTGAGGCAAATTTGAAGAAGTTCTATCTATATATATTGTTTCAATTAGGTTTTAATTTTAGAAATTTTCAGTTGATTTTTAATATTTGACAGTCTATAGAAGTTATGAACTCTTAGGAGTCTATAGAGTTCAGAGAGTCTACAGAGCGTGTAGAGTCGAGAGTCTATCTAAATTATAGAATAAAGTCTACTCTATACGGATTAGATAAGATTATATGAGGAGTATTTCCTTTTTCCGCTAAGTTATTAAATAGATTCAACTATTTAATTTAATATTTAGATTAGATATTATATATATGATTTTGCATTAATATAGGTAAAGTAAGGTGGTCTGGGTAGACTGAAGAGTAATGTTGATTCAGTTCATCTGGTTGTATATAAGAAAAATTTATTTAAAATTGTGCAGTTAGCTAATCCCATAACAAATTCAGCTCAGTTAAATTACAAGTAATTTGTTTTTCGCTTTCTATGAAATTAATTAGAATTAAGTTTTAAGAATGTATAAATCAAACATGTAAATTCCATTTTAAATTTTCTTGTCATATATCATTGGTATATTTTGTTGAAATTGTTTAGAATTAGAAATGTTAGCAAAATAATAAATAGTATAGAAAAATATAGTTAAGTACTATTAGATCAAAATAAGTTTAGCTCTGGGGTTCGCCGTTTAAGCTACAATTTAAATGCAATTTTAGTCATTATATAATTTATTGACTTAATCAATTAACTTTTAGTACATCTACAACGGAAGAGGCAGCCAAGCCAAGAGTTTTGCGTTTCACATGGTCTATGAAGACGACATCGCCACTGATGCCCGATCAGATTATGCAGAAGATAAGAGAAGTTCTTGATCAAAACAACTGCGACTATGAGCAGCGCGAAAGGTAAGACAGGCTCGATTTAAATGTGTATATTTAATATATATAATTACATATATATTTCTATTCTCCAACAGATTTGTACTCTGGTGTGTGCATGGCGATCCCAATACGGATTCTCTGGTTCAGTGGGAAATCGAAGTTTGCAAATTGCCGCGACTCTCGCTGAATGGCGTTCGCTTCAAGCGTATTTCTGGTCAGCGAACAACTTTGAATAGCTTATCAAAATTGTTGATTTATTAATTGTTTTTTATTACACCATCTGCGCAGGTACTAGCATTGGCTTCAAAAACATTGCGTCTCGCATTGCTTTTGATCTCCGTCTGTGACTTGACAAAACGACTAATGATAGCTGCACGGCCACCACCAGCAACACCACCACCACCACCACCGATGGCAGCGATTTCGTATCGACCACCTCCACTGCCAACTATCAAATGGCTGACAAATCGTTGCTGCGTCGATCATTTAGTCAACAGCAGAGATCAAACCGATTCAAGATTCGGAATCGACCGAAAAAGAAAAGCTCAGGCGGAGTCGGCGGCGGCGGCGGATTGCTGTTGTCGGCTTTTCAAGTATACTTGCCCTTTCGATCAAAGGAGGAGGAGCACACGAAATCACAAATCAAATTTGATGCGTTTCGCTCAGCCGATAACGAAGACGAGAGTGAGGGCCAACGGCTAGAGTCAATGCCCAGTAACAGCAGTAATATGGAATCTCAATGTAAAGACAACCAAGTGGCCAATGAAGAGGGGGGTGAGTGTGGCGTGGTGGCAATGGCTGGTGGCAGCAGCAGCAACGGCAGCGGTAGCGGTAAAGTCAGCAAAGGAAATCGATTTAAGAGAAACATCAAGAATACTAGAAGTTTAATTGTGCGCAAATTCACATCAAACAACTCCAGCTCGAACTCGAACTCCAACTCCAACTCAGTAGAGAAAAAACCAAGCGAGACTAACAACAAAACCAGCACATCAAAGCACTCAAATGAGATGGCAGAGCAGCATGCAAATGCAAATGTTATGGATAACGATAAGCCAAACACCAAACAGAAAAAAGTAGCTATGTTACGCACCACAACTCTCTAAATAATAATAATTATCATAAAACAAAAAACATGCATAAAAACACACGTAAAAATTGGAGAGATCTGGGCGCTGCCCATCTCTCTCTCTCTATTTCTAAATATATATATATATATTCATTTATATATATATATACATATGATATATGTATTTGGCTCCAATCATAGTATGAACACGTTTAGCATAGAATCTCAAAGTAAAATTAAATGTTTCATTGAACTATCGCATATTTGAATATCTTATAACAAAACGCAGACAAAATTGTAACCACAACTTAGGTAAGCACCAACAACAACAACAACAAAAACAGAAACAACAACAGCAGCAGCAACAGCAACAAACCAGAAGCATAAACGCATCCCATATATGAAGCTAATGTCTCATATGTAAACACACTTATTATATATTGATATTGATATCGTTAATTGCTAGAAAGCGTAGGTGAGAGCCACACCGTTTTAATTCAATAAAAGGTATATATATAAATATATATATATAAAAGTATATGAAATGAAACAAGCATTTTCTTACGTCAAAGAGGCAAACACACACAATTTTGTTAATATATACATATATAAATTTAAGATATTCTTTCTGTTTGTCAAAATTTACTGATTTGATCCAAAAATTAATTAATTATATAATAATTTTGTTGGTTTTTGCATGAGCGTCGTCTACTATACTATAAAATCTATAAAATTTCCTAAATTATTATTTTTTGATTGTTTATTTAATTCTTTCTCCACACGAGCTACAAGCGATATAAAAAAAATGTAAATTGTATTTATCTAATTATAATTATTTAACCACTTTGAAAATTTACTGTTTTGCATTCAAATTTATTTTGCGTATTTACATTTAAATTGTCTATTTAGAGCTGGGATCCTCTTATTTTTTTTAATTTATAACTCTTTGGCATAGGTGGAATTTACTTGATTTTAGGTTTAAATAGAGAAACCAGGTTACCTTGTTTTCTTTTAACCTGATTCAATTATTTTATTAAGCGGTTGCTAAGGTAAGTATATACATAAATGACTAGTGTAAGGTTTTATTTGATCTAATTCAAAGTAGAAAGTGAAAGAATATTATTGAAAAACAAAAAAAAAACAAATTATATATTCTTTAAATTTAGCAAGCCTTTAGGTGATATGACTAATAGGTTGAGGTCAAGCTAAATAAAGCCACACAGAATTAAGGCTCTCTTCCTTGCATCATTAAATACAGCATATAAAAGAAAATACGTAATTCATTATAATTCCATCAGCTGGACTTTTATATTTTTCAAGTTAATAAAAATACCAATATCTCGACTGTAAATTATCACAATAAATATTATGAGTAAATTAAAGATTTTAATTATGCATAAATTAAATGGAATCTCTTCAAGAAAATCTGTTTTCAATTAGAGCTCATCGTCAAGATCAAAGGTTTCAGCTGGAAAATCACCCACTTCCACGGAGAGAGGTGAGACAAAGCCACCATAATTTGGTTGACAGATGAAATAGGATTTGCCGTCAACACTGTAATGTATAAGTATATTTAAAAATTTTGTAAACATTTATCCCAACGCATTTACCTTCCGTTATTCTTGCCCAATGGCTCATCATATTGGACACCAATATATATGCCATTTTTACCCTCAAGTTGCCCATTGTACATAACAGTACCACGACGTGTAGGATTTCCTGACACACTCACCTAGAGAGAGAGAGAGAGAGAGAGAGGTAGATAGAGTGAGTTCTGATGAGTAACAACAGCAGCAGGCAAATTACCTGGCAACGACTGCCTACAACACAAAGATCTGCACGTCTTTGTATTTCTGCAGCCTGCTCACGCCGTTTGATTTCCATTTGCTGCCTTTCCTCCTCGTTGTATTTGCCCAGTCGATTTTGCTTCAAGAAACTCCGCACAGAATCCGATCGCTGCTCGTATTGATCATTTGAAAGCTCAAATTTTTCAACCGTCTCTGTATCAAATGTGAAGTTTGCAAAATTGTCAACAACATGCAGTCGCATGCCATCGCAATTGATATAGAAACCCAGCTTGGCATCGTTGTCGCTTAGCGTTGTCACCAAATTATCACCCTTATACAACTCTACTTTCATGGTACCAGCATTTCCGCCGGTTAAGATTTCCAATTTACTCTGCGAAAGCACAATTCGCACATCTGTTAATGTAATTTACGAAAAAAGTGCTTAAATGCTTACCTTTAGCTGAGAGATGGTTAAGTCCTTGGCAAACTTGATCTCAAAGGCCACGGTATCATTATGAGAATTCGAGACATTAGCTGTAATAAAGCCTGAATCCGAATTATTAATTTGCAGTATTTCCGACATGTTTAGCTTCAGCGTTTGTCGTCACTTTAAGGCTTAGCCGATAAGTCTTCACGATGGCCGATAATTTCCAATAAGGAATATCGAACGAATTTTACGATTTGTTCGTTTAAGCTTTGATAGACTTTAGTGGAAATTGTTGCTACGAATTTAAAAGTTTGAAGATATAAAATAAAAATTGAGTTTGAGCCAGTCTGATTTCTGGTCAAAAAATCACTTGTACAAATATATATACTTTTTCATAGTAAGAAAATATTATTGAAATGACTTTTCCAATTAGAAAAAAACCAACCAGTAAAAATCGATTCTAATATGGAACAGACCACTGGTCCATACACATAAGTATATCGATGGTTTTGTACATCACTAATTAATACACAAATCAGCTGCTTAATATCCTTAAGACCGTGTTTAAGTTATGTGAATTGATGGCTATGCAAAATAAATGGCATTTGTTTATAAATATGCCAGTATATATAGATAATAAGATACATGATAAAATGTAAAGTGGTGAAAACAGCGATAAAATGAATAAGTACACAAGTTTATTAGGCATTGAACAGCGAAGCAAAACTATGTATCATCCAAAGGAACAAATTTTAAATATCTTGACATACATACTTTTGCTCGTAGTTGCCGTGTGTGCAATTGTTCTGCTATGTGACTTATCTAGTCAGCGTGATGGATTCTTCTACTCCAAAAAAGATGGAGCCGTACTCGATCTATCCATATCCCATACTCGGGAAGTGCTTCTGCGCCCGGACACGGAATATCGTGGACGAAATGTGAATTGCACTTTTTGGGATTGCTTAAACATTTACAAATGCGAGCATGACACACTCAAGGTATACATTTACCCGCTGCAAGAGTTTTTGGACGAGAAAACCGACAAGGTTGCCAGCACGCTGTCAAGCGAATACTTTCAAATCTTGGAAGCCGTGCATAAGAGTCGCTACTACACATCGAATCCCAATGAAGCATGCCTCTTCCTGCCAAGCTTGGACTTGCTGAATCAGGATGTGTTCGACAAGCATTTGGCTGGTCCAGCGCTGGCTTCGCTCAACTTCTGGGATCGTGGAGAAAATCATTTAATCTTTAACATGCTGCCGGGCAGCGCACCCAACTATAACACCATCTTAGACGTGAACATCGACAATGCCATTGTTTTGGGTGGCGGCTTTGATAGCTGGACATATCGGCCCGGATTCGATGTCTCGATACCCGTTTGGAGTCCGTTGGTGCATCAAACCAACTTGTTGCCTGCTCACGCCGCAGCTCATCGCAAATATTTATTAGTTTCTGCTCAGCTGAATCTTTTTCCGCAGAATCTGCGAACTCTTACGGATCTAACGTTGACAGCTAAAAGCGCCGACCAAATTCTAATGCTTGGACTCTGTGATAACAAAGATTTGAAATCTCGCTGCACTCTGACAAAGGCAAATCCGAAGCGATGGGAATACCCACGCGTGCTGGGACGAGGCAAGTTCTGCTTCCTCGGGCGCAGTCTGCGCATTGGCCAGCCCGACTTGATCGAGATAATGTCTCAGGGATGTATTCCTGTGATAGCCATTGACAACTATGTGCTACCCTTTGAGGACGTCATCGACTGGTCTCTGACGTCTGTTCGAGTGCGAGAGTCGGAGCTGCATTCAGTGATGCGCAAATTGGAAGCGATTTCCAATGTCAAAGTTGTTGAAATGCAGAAGCAGGTGCAATGGCTCTACAGCAACTACTTTAAGGATTTGAAGACAATTACAATTACTGCTCTGGAGATACTTGAGAGTCGCATATTTCCCCTGCTGGCCCGCAGCAGCCGGCAATGGAATGTGGTTAAGAGAAATAGTCGTTCAACCTTTAATCCTCTATTTCTTACGACTCTCGCTCCAAAGTCTCAAGGCTTTACAGCTGTTATTCTGACCTATGATCGCGTAGAGAGTCTATTCCTTTTGATACAGAAGCTGGCAGTTGTGCCATCGCTGCAAAGTATTCTGGTTATTTGGAACAATCAGAAAAAGATGCCACCACATTGTAAGTTTATTATATTATAAATCTGTATTCAATATCAATTAATATGATTTCCTCTTCTTATATTTTGTACTAGTATCAACTTTCCCAACAATATCCAAACCACTGAAGATCATACAGACTCGTGAGAATAAACTCTCAAATAGATTTTATCCCTATCCTGAAATTGAAACTGAAGCAATACTAACAATAGACGACGATATCATTATGTTAACCAGCGATGAACTTGATTTTGGGTACGTTAGTCATATGATTTTCAACTATCCCATTCTATATAATCGTTTCCTTTAGCTATGAAGTGTGGCGCGAGTTTCCGGATCACATTGTCGGCTTCCCCAGTCGCATTCATGTCTGGGACAATGAAACGATGCGTTGGCACTACGAATCTGAATGGACCAATCAAATATCGATGGTGCTTACTGGCGCAGCATTTCATCATAAATACTGGAGTCATATGTATACGTATGCCATGCCAGGCGACATTAAACATTGGGTCGATGACCACATGAACTGTGAGGATATCGCTATGAACTTCCTTGTAGCGAATATCACAAACAATCCGCCAATTAAAGTAACGCCGCGAAAAAAGTTCAAGTGCCCCGAGTGTACAAATACGGAAATGCTGTCAGCCGACTTGAATCATATGCGGGAACGTTCAGCTTGCATTGATCGATTCGCCAAGATCTATGGACGAATGCCTCTACGCACAGTTGAGTTCAGGGCAGATCCTGTGTTGTTTAGAGACAATTTCCCAGATAAATTGAAACGTTACAATGATATTGGAAGCTTGTAAACCATTAATAATTATATAAATATCATATATATTACAACTAGTAGACGAAATTACTCAAGACTTAACCAAATATGATATATAAATCAATGTTATCTGGTATTGTAGTAATGATGAGACGTTTAAAATTTACATTCATAATCAGTTTTTAAGTTGTAATCAAATAATAAGAATAGAGAATATGTTGATGCCATTTAAGAGAGTATTTGCTAATATATGTATGTAATTCAGAAATAGATCATGTTATGATTTTCTTATATTATAGACTTATATGGATGTAGGCAAGAGTTTACTGAAAATATGTATATCATATTCGTATCAACTGACATTAAATAATGGATCATTTTCATTGGACAGCGAAAATAAACACTTTTTAAAACAAAACTTTAAGTCAATTCTCATAAACTTACCTTTTAATTTATATAAGAAAGTAAATTTCTCAAATCCCATTTGGTAAAATTATGCAACGGATTTTCTCGTGCTGAGCAGAATTTAAAATTTATTAAATATGTATATAAATGTTTTAGGGCCATATATTGAAAATGCAAAATTCTAAGGCTGGATTTCACTGTTTAGTTGAGAAATTAGAATAGTTTTTATAATATCAATTAGGGGCAGTCAATTCTACGCTCCATTAACAGAAGCCAGATATTCTTTATAGCGTTGCTCCTGCTGTTGCTGGAGCTTTTGAAGTTTCTTGAGTTGTCCTTTGCTAATCTCTTTTCCATCTTTGTCGTGTGTGGGAAGGCCCTAAAATGCATTTTTTATGAAATATGTATATGCTTTTGCAAATTAGATATGTATATGTGTTTAACTTACATCTTCGCCAAATGCCGAGTACTTTTCGGTTTCATTGAGAAACATTTCTTTTGGATTAACGCGACGTTGAGCTTCCTTGGCTGCAGCCGCCTCTGCCAAGGCTTGTTTCTTGCGCTCTTTTTCCAAAGCCTTTTCCGCTTCAGCTGCCTGTTTGGCCTCGCGTTCCCGCAGCAGCATGTCCCGGTCAACCAATTTGACGGCATACTTGCCATTATCTTTATCTTCCAAGCGAACACCCAAATTGGGTAAGACATCATCACGGAGATCATCACATAGCTTCAGTATGTCAAACGCTTTTAATGCCTTCGCTTGCTCACGCACTAAATTACGGAACTCGGCCACTGATTGGACGTATGGCATTACTACGGCCTCGTGATCATTGGTGGCTGAATCGGAATCAGCTCCTTTCAGCGGGAATCCTATGCCACCGCGCGGACCGGCAATTGCTCCAAATATGTGTAACAGGTCCGTCACATAGATGGCTATCTTTCGCAGTAACAGGCTGTTGAGTCTGGATTTATTGTCTCGTATGTAGACATTCGTCGTTGACACCAGCTCCCGAACACAATCTAAAGCGCTGCGCGTATCAATGTTATCTGAAATAGGCAAATATATTTATAAACATATACATAATTCAAATATAAAATCTTACCACAAAGAGCTGCATGAACTTGTGCCTGGGCTTCGTTAAATTTGGCTTGTAGGGCCGCCTCCACAGCCGTCCACTCACTAAACTGCTGCATGGGCTCTCCGGATAAGACTTGCCGTGTTAGGTCTTTCACATTCAAAAAGAATTCCTAAAATCAAATGTGAATTTTACCTTGTGTATAATATTTGGTTATTTTAAGCTTACATTGAGGAATTTCTCATACTGAGTTGCCATTTCCATGGTGTTTTCGGAGTAGTCGAGCGTGTCCTTCCAAGAGTGCAACAGGAATGCCAGACGCAGCTGCGTTGCTGAGTGCTTTTTCAATGCCTCTTGAATTGTGACAAAATTTTTAAGAGACTTGGACATCTTGCAGCCGGCAATTGTCAGGTGACCGGTGTGCAAGAAATACTTAACCCATTCTGATTCACCAAACGCCGCCTCGGACTGAGCCAGCTCATTGTCATGATGGGGAAACTTTAAATCGACTCCGCCAGTGTGTATATCAAATATGGATCCAAAGATATCTGAAGCCATGGCAGAGCACTCGATATGCCAGCCAGGACGACCACGACCCCAAGGACTATCCCACCAAGGTTCACCAGCCTTGCTCGCCTTCCACAGAGCAAAGTCGTTGGCCGATCGCTTCTCTGAGAGTCGATCTTCAGTGACGGACAAGTCACCCTCGCCTTCCTGCAATGATGCTGTGTCTCCGTAGGCCTCGGGCACCAGCTTGGCGTAGTGATGCTTATCGCGTTTGTCAAAGCCATTGACATCAAAGTAGACGGAACCGTTTGCCTCGTAGGCAAGGCCATTGTCAATAATACGCTGTATAAATGCTACAATCTGAGGCACGTACTCCGAAACTCGGGTTAATACATCAGGTGGTAGAATCTGAAATTATTCATCAATATATTACGAATGTTTCAATAAAGCTAGTTAGTTGGCTTACATTGAGTGATTTCATATCATTATGAAATTTATCTTCCCAAAATCTGGGTAGAGCTTCGAAGACGGAATTATCATTAACATGAGCACCTTGCTTTCCATCTAGCCACTCAGCAATGGGATCCTTTGCTTCAGCCAAATAATGGCATCTCATTTTAGTGATTTCTGCTTCGTTGCCAGTGCTGACAGCTTTGGTTAGACCTTCGACTGCGTCGTTCATACGTTGCAACATCTTTTCAAGCATTACTTTCTTATCAGCATCTGTATTTATATCACACTTGACTTGTAATAAACTGAGTACTTCTTTTTGCTCGTTAAGCAATTGCTCGAGTGGCAGCTGAGCAGCTGCAGTTGCATACTGCTCAAATAGATGATATTGACGGGCTCGCTTTATAATTTTGTCGTCGATATCCGTAATGTTCATGACATAGTGGATATTGTAGCCAAAGTAGTCGGCCAATATACGTCGCAAAATATCAAATGAAATGTAAGATCTGTGAATCATACAAGCATAACAAGATTAGATAGGGAAGACGACGAGCATGCTGATGTGGCTCCTCACCTAGCATGTCCCATGTGCGAGGCATCGTACACAGTCGGGCCGCAGCTATACCATTTAACATTGTTTCCGTCCAATGGTACGAATTCCTCTTTTTGTCTGGTTAGACTATTGTACAATTTCAATTGAGGCCTTGTTGAGGCTTTTGGTGCTTGCCACACCGGTTGCACACGTTTAGACATTTTGGGAATTCCTTTAATAGCGTTCTTAAATTCCAGCACGATTACTAATCGATGATTAATACTGAATGAAGTATTTTTAAAGTCAGCTGTTTAACTCGTTTACTGAGTCAGAGTTGCTAACAAAATATCGATATGCCTGTCCGGCAAATTCTTATGGGACAACATATTTTTCAAATTCGCTTTAAATATTCACTGTGATTCTTAAAAAACGTTTCCTTATTTATCTTTTTGTATTTATTGATATATGGCCCCCAATATTATTAAATACCAATTCAAAACATAAAATTATTAATATAGTTAATAAAATTAGTGTCTAAACTAGTTGCAGAAAAATATATATTTTTAGCTTAGGAAGCAATTAAATATCAGATTTTATATTATTTGTCATAAATACGTCGTTAATGCTAGCATTTATATGTCTAATTGCCGCCATTCAGCTGTGATTTACAGGCAATCATATACACTGGAAAAAGTCCTTTCGGGAAATTTTGTTGACGCACTTTCCTTACAATTCGAAAGCCAGCTTCTTTTAAATAGCGCTCATATGATTCAAGTGGACGAGTAATTGACGAATCCTCGTCATCCTTTATCACATTTTTAGATGTACTGACGTTTTCCTTAATGCAAAAGTAAGCACCAGGCTGCAAACTAAGCCGCATGCGACGAAAGAATGCCACAAGATCCGGATCCGTCAGATGTCCTAAAACCCATTGACTCCAGATTAGATCATATTTATGAATGGGTGAGAATTCCTGAAGTCCCATATTGTATATTTCGCCCAGGCTATTACGACATACGGACTCTGATGTGCATATCTCTCGGGCCTTCTCAGCAAACGCGGCATCTTGTTCAACCAGATCAACCGTGTTGAACATTGGTATTAAAAGATTTCGTGACACTCGTCCAATTCCAGCACCGCAGTCTAGAGCTAATTTCTTGCCAGGCACTTTAAGTTCACGTAGAAATATCCTTGACCCTTGTATATCGATTGCGCTGATGTAGCCAAGACCACCGAGCATCCCGTTTACGGTTGCTGGCACTTCCGACCAATACTTTTGCGCCTTGTTGTAAAATTCAGGCACAACCTTTTCATTTTTCAAGTTGTTGGGGCTTTCAGCTTCGTGTTTCTCTTCCAGCACTACATCTTTATAATTGTTTACCTTTGGCAAATTTTGTGAGTCCTCCTTGTCACAGGCAGTCACAGGATTTGTATCTAACTTAGAATACATTTTCGTTGTTGTATAATTCTAGTCATGAAATTTGTAGTTAAATTCTAAGTAGTTAAATTATCGACAATGCCACTTACCGCATACTTAGATTAATTTATAACAAATAAATGTGCGCAGGGCTGCATCATAATTATTTTTTAAAACTAGTTCTTAGGAGAACCAAACAAAGCTCGTTAAAGCAAATACTTCGATTCAAATATTTAACTGAATTTAATAACTAATCGAATAGTTTAATTTCCATTATATTTGCTTCAACAGTTTATTCAGTTTCCATATATTGTCGAACCTATAAACATTGCACTTTTTTTTATTTCCATAGGAACTATTCAAATGCGCACAGAAATTAAAAGATAATTAATATCGATATCCAATGTATTCGATACATTAGAGAAAGAAAAATAATATCAACAGGCGTATATTTTTGTTAAGCTGCATAAACTACAAATTTATTTAACTATAAATAAATATGACTCTCGATGTCGATGCTCAAAAGAAAGATGAAAAACTACTACTTGCAACAATACACCAGGAATATAAAATTCTCGCGGAATAGTAAGAAAGTACAAATTTTCATTTCCAAAACAATAACAAAGACTTTTTTATAGCAAAATGATTGAGTCAGAAAAGGTCTCAGGCATCTATGTAATTCCGAGCTATGCTAATTCGTTGCGTGAGTATATTTATATTGAAGAGCATCAACATCGAAGTATAATACTTATTTAACTTAATTTTCGTAGAATGGTTTGGTGTGTTCTTTGGTCGACAAGGTTTCTATGAAAATAGCGTATTTCGATTTTCAATACTCTTGCCGGATGGTTTTCCGCAGGATAAAACCACTCCAGTAAGTACCTAATTATGCATATTTTATACTTTTTATAACGATATGTATGTAATTTACTCATTGAAGGCCATTGTTTTCCAACAAAACGTTGTGCATCCACTTGTGTGTCCTTTCACAAACAGCTTAGACATCAGTCACGCATTCCCGGAGTGGAGATGCGGAGAAGATCACCTTTGGCAAGTGCTGAAGTACATGCAAGTGATATTTGCCGATCCCTTGGAATGCATACGTAGTGTGGGCAGTACCCAGGAGCTGAGCAACGTGGAAGCAAGCAAGCTACTGACCACTAACCGAGACGCATTTGCTGCACTTGTTCAAGAAAGTATTGCAGAGAGCAAAGCTCACATCTATGATACGCCACCCACAGAGGATCCGCATTATATAGTATTTGAAAAATTCCAAGAGGACATACATGGACCAGTCTTAGAACAAATACGAAACGGAAGGACCACAAATTCGCCTGCAGAAAGTGGAGGCGGAGGCGCAGCCACTGGTCTATCATGGGTTAAAGTTAAAGAAGGCGAATTTAAACCGTTAAGCATTGAATAGTCATAACAATCGATGTATGTGCGTAAATTATATAACATTCTATTAGTTAATTAATATCCTGCAGTCTCCTGAGATCTATGATTCAGACTTCTTTATGAACTTTTCACAGTTTTTTATCCACTCATGCTCCAGCTCTAGTTCAGTGTCATCCCAATGAAAATGTGTGGGCGGTTTGTCATCACTAGAAAACACGAATCTCTGGCTGAGCTCGATGGCCAATTTAGAGCGCACGAGTCCAATGCCACCAACTTGGGGCCACGCTGGATGATACACTCGTCCGGTTTGCGGGTGCATATAGAGCTTATGTGGTTGAAAGGGAATCGATAGATCTGGACCACCATGTGCATATGTTAATATATGATCAGTTCGCCCATCTGCATCCTTTTTTAGGTGCTCAGTAAAAACAATTGGCGTATCATCACAGCGAATATAATTCCGTTCACGACCGCAAGGCGACAAATAGGGAAACATTTCATAACGCTGTGTTTCATTGAAGCGCAGGCGGCTGAAGAAGAATTTTAGGAATTTCTTCTCTTTAAAACAAGATGTGAAGTTTTTCATTTTGGCATCGTCTAAAAAGAGCTGCAAGTGAAAAGCAACAAGAATAAAGGCACATATGCATGCATACACCTACACCCATGCATATATACATGTGTGTACATACACACCATGCCTTCGTGATCGATGTAATAAAAGTACTCGCGTATCCTTGGCTCAGGCGACTGTCCCTGGGTATAGAGCGCGACAGTGCGCCGTGGCATCCAATTGAATTTCCAATTTTTAGACACTAAGTTCTTCGTGTGGATTACAGCAATACCTTGATCGAGGAAAAAAGTGGATCAGCGGATTGTTTACAATATTAATATAGTAAATTCATATATGCATGATCCATTTCTAATGTATGCGTGTATATTCAGAATATTTAACTGGAATTTTTTAAAATTACATCATGTTTATTTATATGAATCCTAAGGATAGAGGTGCAAGTCTATTTTTTCTTTTTATCATTAGTACTGCCGGTCTTTTGCATGCGCGCCACTTGCATGTTCTTTAGCTTTTCATTTAGCTTCTTTTTGGCATTTTTGTGCTCCTCTTCTTGGCGTATGGTCTTCAATGGCTTGGGATGCAGAAATTCTTTTCGGGCTTCTCGCTTTTTTATCTCGCCACAGCCGTGAACCTCGGGGAGACCGTGCTTGAAACAGAAACGTTTGCTGCAGTGTTCGCAGTCCTGGCCCATTAGGCTGGTTCTGGTCTTGCAGCGTGGATAATCGCACAAATTATCTACTGTTTTAACGGCAGTGAGTACTTCGTCCAGCTTGAGATCGACCACTTGGCTGGGTATGCGCTCCAAGAGCTCCAGTGTGTTGTTCGTGCCATAATTGACTGGTTTACCAGGCTTAGTTGGTGGAAAAAGTGGCGCACTGTCTTCATTGGCTGAAGGCGATGCATTGCTACTGGTGGCTTTTTGTTGTTTCGCCTTGTCTACATATGCTGCACTTAGTGAAATGTTTTTTCAACGATTCGAATATAATTATTACCTGCCATTGTAAATTGATAAGCTAAACAAGACTTTCGTCAATTTTAGACTCACGTTATACAGCACTGTATAGAATATTTACGAGAACAAATTCGGCTTTTTTTAGTATATTTTGTTAAATCAAAAGAGAAATATACAGGGTGCTCTATTGTTGAACTTTTCAGCTATAAACCCTTAAACAAATTTGTATAATTAAAATGGTTGAATATACATATGTTGAGCTTGAATTTTAGTTAAATAATGAAATCTTATTTGTTGCTCTTTTAACTATTTTTTTTTAATATACATACATAGATGTGTCATATTAATCGCTACACAAAAACTGATACTAAATTCTTATTAAAATATATATGTTTGTCTATATTTCGAATCAAATAGGCAATACAGATAAAGCCTAGAATGAAGGTGAAAATAACAAACACAAAAATTCGATTACATATTTATTTTATTAATGCATTTCAGTTGACATTGATTACAAATTTACTATAAAATGCTAAGCAGAGCTATTAATACACTTGTATAATTCTATAAAATGCAATCTCCTAATGCATGCGGAAGTGAAGGACACTATTCTTTAACAATTGATTCTCGTTTCTTATAAGTTAGCTGGAGTTAAGGTCACAGCTGCATGAATAGCCTTTGCCACATATTCAAAATTTCCAGTATTCAGGCCGCACATATTTATTCTGCCAGTTTTCAGCAAATAAATGTGATACTCCTTGATCAGCACGGCCACTTGCTTCTCATTGAGGCCCGTGTAAGAGAACATGCCAATCTGGTTGACAATGTGGTCCCAATTACCGGGTGTTCCCAATTCCACGAGCTTGTCTCGCAGAAGTTTACGCATTTCCCGAATGCGACTCGACATGGCCTTGATGCAGTCCATCCACTCTTGACGCAGTGCAGGTGTATTCAATACCTTGGACACAATGCGAGCTCCATACGCTGGTGGATTTGAGTACAAGCCACGAATGAGAAGAGTTATTTGAGAATGGATCTGGTCACGGGTGGCACCGCTTTGCTGTACTATCGTTAAGTTTCCAACTCTCTCGCAGTACAAGCCGAAATTCTTTGCAAACGATTGGCAAACGAATAGCTCGAATCCACGATCCACAAAGTAACGTATCGCCCAGGCATCCAGATCGGGATCGCCGCTGGCGAAGCCCTGGTATGCCGAATCAAAAAGTGGGAATAGTTTCTTCCGCTCAATAAGATCGGCAATTTTCTTCCATTGGTCCTGAGTGGGATCCATGCCCGTAGGATTGTGTGCACACGCATGTAGAATGATGACGGCGCCAGCCGGCGCCTTATCTAAATCAGCGAGCATGCCCTCCAAATCCAGCTGACGTTTGTTTTGGTCCCAATAGCGATACGAGTTCAGACTGGTAAATCCGGTATCGGCAAAAATCTTGTGATGATTCTCCCATGTCGGATTCGAGTAGTATACAGTGTTACGCTTTAATTGACGAAGCAGAAATTCAGCAGCTACGCGCAGAGCTCCTGTTCCAGAAATCGTTTGCACACCAAAGGCCTGCAATATAAAAAATTGGGAATATATATAATATAAAAAATATAAAGTATACGACTAGATACTCGTTGCTATTGCTCTTCTCCCTATCATTCATTTTATATTTTGTACTCAAAGCCTTTTATTCTTTTTCTACTCATCTCTATTATATATTTAAAAATATATCTCTGTTCCATTGTAAGAGTACAGTTCATATGGAAAACTTACACGTTTCTCTTTTAATGCTATTGAGTCCGCACCTAATACCAATTCAGTTGCTGCTCGCGTGAACGTATCCAATCCTAAAATATATACGTACATACATATGTTATTAGTCAAGAGCGTGTTGGTCTTATCTAAAAACTCACCCGTTACTGGCAAATACTCATGATTAATTGTCTCATCGGTCGCGATGGACACTTCTGTTTTTCTCACCACAGGCAGGACCCATGGTTGACCATCATTAGTTCGGTAAGCTGTTAATTAGATAAGCCATGGATTATATATGATTAAAGAGAAATTGAGAAGTTCTTAATATTAAAGTGACAATCATGTTCCATTCCTTAAAAATTAAGGAACCAAACACAAATATTAAGAGATATTCATTATTTAAAGGCATCTTAAGAAAGATTTCTTATTTCATATTCCGTTAAGATGTTTAAATAAAACAAATCTACTACAAATTCAAGAAAAAAGAATCATAAAAATGCCAATCAATATCAATTTGTTTCCATTATGGGGAGCCGGAAAAATATGTACATACAAATATATATGTACATACATATATCTCGGTGCGTTTATTAAAGACAAATCAGCTGATATTTGATAAGATACGAGCCAGTGATTAGGGATTAAAGGTCACTTCATACAAATTCACTGCAAATGATTATTGAATATTATTATTTGGATCAGAGTTCATAATCTGTTACACAGAACTAAAAACAATTTGCTATTTTGACTAAACAATTGACGTAGTTTAGCTTATAATATATGCATAGAAGATTAAATATGTATATAAGTATGTATGCATACGTGCACACATAAACTAATTTAGTTGAATTTGTTTGTAGGTATGAAAACATAAATAGAAATTTGGGTTCATAAATACATTTATTGTCTATGCTATAACCATAAATCTTGTATTATATGTATGTATAGACATTTGTAAAGATATATGTTTGTATGTATGGTCATTTTTAACCGGCTGTTGAAAGGAATAGCAGTTCATTGACTGAAAGATTTGACATCCAAATGCCCTCTATACGAAGCTTACTTGCTATCTAAGCTCTATATACATACAAACATATAAATACAATATTACAAGCACCCAGCCTTACATACCTACACGTAAGCACATATTACATACATACATATCTATTTAGCGGAACGCGAACTAGAGATGCGCCGCCAATTAGAACAGCATTCAAAACGAATGGAATACTTTAATAAGCATTTATATGCACATACATACATATATTTATCTATATTTATAGTGCATTCCATTTATATTTAATGTTTAGCATCCAAACATGTACATATGTATATATGTATTTATAAATAAAGGGATGTAAAGCAAGGTCAAATTACCGGAATTATATAAATATGAATATATGTATATATATATTAATATTTATATTTATAACTATGTTTGTTTAGTGTCACAATACTTACCGCCTACGGACAAATTGACTTTCGGTGTATTAACATCATCCCTAAATGCTTGCGTTAAGGCAAACACTTCAATTGCCGGTCCTTGTTGCACATCGGCATAAATTGATGAAGCCATTGTACGTTGCAGATCCACGCGAAACGTTTGTAATAAATAAACCTTTCACGTCGGCGAAATTTGATTGCGAATCAGCTAATTATCGATATACTCGATAAAACATATATCGATATAATAGTGAGGCCAATAGCTTAAAACTATATTTATTCTCTCGATGGGTTTAATATTTCATTTATTTAATGTTTGAAGGATTAATATTAATATTCAGATACTTAATATTGTAAGTTAAATAACTAATAATATTTTTAATGAGCAACAAGTGTTTAGTGTTTTAATTAGGAATTCTGATTTAATCTCGCACTGGCCACACCGAACTTAAAGTGGCGCCAAAAATTAAATAAAAGCGTTAATATAGATAAAAATTTAAAAATTACATGTAATCAGAAAAAATTGTCCTATATAACTGTGGAAATAATTACAGAATAACTTTTTTTCTTCAATATATTTAGCGATTATAAAAACTTAATTTATACATATTTATAAATGTTCATAGCAGGCAGCAACTGTCAGTCACTTCTGTAAAAAAAAACATCTATCAATAGCTAAGTTAACAGCTTTTTAATTCTCTTAGGTCTCGTGACTGAATACCATCTGAAGTTTACACTAATTAAAAATTTCAAAGACCGTAATTTATCTATTTCGCAGAATCAAATTTAATTATTTTTGCGGTATTTGATATATTCTCTTTGTGTATGTGCTATCTGTGCTATTTAAATAAAAATAAAGTGGTCCTTTCTATTATAACTACAGTTTAATGAGTGCATACATGCAATACCCTACAAATATTTTCAACGAACGAAGGTCACGAATTAAGCCTCTATTGGATTTTATTTATTAGAGGCTCAAAGATGCCGATTTTTTATAACAATTGAGTAACTCTGCAAATGTATGTAACCAGTACACGGATAATAATTACATTTGTAATTGTAATAATAATAATTGTGAATATTTTTATTTGTTGTAAACTTCGATAAAGTAATATACATTGCCTGATTTACTTATTCACGCTAACCAGTTCCAGGTCAGCTCATTGGCCTCACAGCCTTGTAGAGTTCTTTAACCCACTAACTGATCATCAGTTTTGGCCCAGTATGTGACGATCTGCCCCTTTTCTGACTTTCACACGTTGTGAACTGCGCATTTTTGGAACAAAATGTGATCGGTCATCCCTGTTTTTCACAAGTTAAATGAAACAATTAAATAAAAAAAATAAAAATAAAAAAACAGGTATGCGCAGTGAGAAATTCTTTGCTAACAATAAAATTATTCACAATTTTACTCAAAATAAAAGTACTTTAATTGAGAGTGACCCGAAGCTAAGTTACAAAATACCTAGGCGCTTCGGTAGGCATCGCGCCAAATATTTGAAATTTTTTCTCTCATCCTTCACTCATTAACAAGCTTTAGCGCTCAAATGGGTGGGTGTTATTGTGCGTATATACTGGTTATTTACACAAAAAACATATTCTTTCTCAACAACGTTTTGTTACTCTTTCCTAAAATACTTATACAAAAACGAAAACTTTGAAATGAGTATGACGAGCCCTTTAACAATGTAGCAAAACTTCTCTCTTAGAATAAAAGTGTCAACTTTTGTGCAATGCTGCGTAAATGCATGCACATACACATATGCAACTATGAGAGAGCGGCGGAGAGTCAACAGAAACAGATGAAGCGAAACTGGTAAAGAGATAGTGGCGATCTCACTCGATCGCACTATGCCAGATTACATTGCTTGTTGAGAGTATAAGACTATTCGAGTATAAGAGTGTATGTAATGAGTAGAAAGCGGTAGAAGTGGTTGGCGGAATCTACTCTACACATTTTTTGCGGGTTGTAACTGATTATTCTAGACTACACATCTATGTATGTGTTGTTTGTTTAGTGATTCTATGCACACACATATATAAATATATGCATACATTCGAGTCAAAGCCTACACACATACATAAGTACGGCTGAAAGCTTTTCCCTGCTTTTGCTACTAGCACCTTGAGACCTGGAATATTTGTTCACGTAAAATGAAGTCGAACAAAAATGTAAAAATTATAAAATTTTATATGCATATCGAATATGTGACAATATCTATATCTTCCACAGCTGTCGTGCAAGAACATTGAACCATCAAAACTGCTTAGTTTAATTTCTAATAAACTTAAATGTTTGTTGGTTGCTAATAGCAACAGAAAATTGTTTATGACGAAGGCTTGGGCGTATGGACTATATATAAGATAGTCGAGAATTCCAGTTCGATTGCAAAATGTCGAAGGCAACAACAATTAAGGAAGCGCTGAAACGTTGGGAAGATCGAGAGCAACAAAATTCGCTGACTGCCAAACAAATAGATTTGCAATTTCAATGGCCACCAATTGAGAAAATGGATAACACATTAGGAACGCTAGTGTGCTGCGAGTAATATCCCAATCCAAAATTATTGAAATTCAATAATGAAATTCCATATATTGCAGAAGAATCAGCTTGTCAACAAATATGATTGAGAAAATTTTTGGTCTGTCAGGCATGAAATGTTTGAAGGTTTTATCCTTATCGCGGAATTATATCAAGCAAATATCAGGATTGGTACGTTACTAAAGATAGTTATTAAATACATTACATATTAGTTATCTACTTATATATACTTACAAATCTAATCTCTAGGAAGCTGTTGCGGAAACATTGGAAGAACTCTGGCTTAGCTACAATCTTATTGAAAAACTGAAAGGTTTGAGTGCTCTGAAGTGTCTGAAGGTGCTTTACATAAGTAATAACTTAATCAAGGATTGGTCGGAGTTTAATCGCTTAGCCGAAATAGAAACTCTTGAGGATTTAGTGGTTGTGGGTAATCCCTTGTCGGAGGGCCTAGATGAACCCACTTGGAGAGCTGAGTGTATCAAGCGCCTGCCAACTATACGAAAACTAGATGGCGAACCAGTTGTTCTTAAGGAAGAACCAATACTTTAAAAAGGCTAAACTATGAATGAATAAATGCGAATAAATGTGTATGCATACTCAAAGGTCTTTTTCAACAAATTAAATAAAAATACTCAAGGCATCAGCTCAACACAGAAGTCAAGGTATCTTCCAGTCAATCATACCCGGCCACGCGCTGTTCAAAGATCTATTCAACAAGGTTGCGAACTTCTAAGCTTCACCATATTAACGCCATGCATTAGCAAAATCTTATCAACATCGGATGACTATATTATATAGCTCATATAGAAACAGTCGCCCAGAAATCAAATGATTCTACAAAAAGGAAAAAAATGAATGCTCATTTTTTTATGTTCACATAGGTACATATTTAATCTCTTGAATACCTTTCATTTCGAATATAACCTAATTCCGCTAATAAACCAAGTTCCAAATATAAACATTAATCACTTGGGGACAATTTCACATTGGCATTTCCAAGAAATAAATATAATATTATATAGAGCTCTACGTGGCCTTCAGACCGTACTAGATAAAATTTGACCCAAGAACTGTTTCCCCGTGCCACGCCTTGCCTTTAATGAATTATTTCGTTATCTTGTAAAGATTGAGGTAGGAATATTTCTGTTAATCACACACACTTTGGTAGATAACAGGTAGAGTAAGCTATAAGCGAGACAAGTTATAGGAAAGCAAGTCATAGCCAAATACTATATATATGTATATGGGTATATAGATAAGTTAAGGTTATTTGAGATAAGATTATTTATATAAGCAAATACGCCCAGGCGCCGTTTTATTTAAAATAAAACATTATCTTATTATTATAAATGGAAGACTATGTGGAATCTACCGCCTTGATTAACGGCACGTGCTATGCGAATATAGCAGACAGACGGCGACCGAAATATATTTATAAAGAAAAAGTCATACTGTACAGCGAGTGGACACTTCAAATACCCTACAGCTGAGTATATAATTAGTTGTATATTATTATAATAATTATAATATTAATAAGTAAAAAGTAAGCTACTAGTTTAAGTTCCTGGCGTATAAAGTTCATTCATTTGTTCAACTGCATGTTTGCTAATCAAATTGTATAAAATATAATATATAAATATAAATATTTTGAGATAGACTGGTAATTAAAATACCCTACAGTGCTGTGTACAAAGATTATTATAAGAATTTAATTTGATAATAGAAATTATTATATAAAATGAATAATATGTCATTCATGTAAAAATATACCATCACCATTACTCACATTTAATTTTATAGCAATATCATCTTTAGTATTTGATTCTATGTACTTAAGACTAACAGCAAGCGCATTAAATATATTGAAACGCTTTGATTGTGCGCGTGCGTTGTAGACGTTCAAATTTGTTGTTTAACAACCTGTCTGGATGCCGTATATACATATGTATGTATGTACAATAATCGTACGACATGTTTGGTCATTTGGACGATTTGATACTGAACTTGATTCGCACTTTCGCTGACCTTCGCCGGAGTCGACAATGACAGCTGCGGCTGCAGCTGCGGCTATCGGCCCAGTTATCAGGGCCTTGGCAAATATCTATCAGCTCTATCTATAAGCTCTCACAGTGTGGCATCTAAGTTTTGTATTTAGTTTTTGTTTTTAATTAATTAATTATGCCAAAATGACGGCACACCTGAACTAAAGTTTTTAATACGACATTTTTCTTATCACAAACTATAAATATTTTATATATATGTTTTAAGATTGTATAATTATAAGAGTGTGAAGGAGAGAGAGGACAAGTTAGAGAGTGAAAGAGAGAGAGCGAATGAGATTAGATGCTATGCAAAAAGAGTCTATTGATAAACTATTGATACAAACTTTGAGGTAGAGCTGGAATAAGCTGGGTGTGACTCGAGGTGCATTATGAGATTGTTGTAGATCAATTAATTTTTAAATGAATATTTCTTTCTGTCTATATTATTATCTATGTCTCTATAAGTCTATATCTATATACCTCCATTCAAATGCATCTATAATACAATGAATATTTATAATTTTAACTATATCTATATTTTTATCTATCTAATATATATTGTTATAATTATGTCACATATTTAATAATATATAATTTAAATATAATTTAAATAACTAACTATTATTAGTAAGGAATGTGTGTCGATTGATGTATTTGCATATACCTGTAATTAATTCAATTTTCACCTAGTAATATGCATTTATAATACAAAATGAGAAGCTGCGACGCCTATTTGCATAATTAAATATATTGCAACTAAATTGTTCACCTCTATTTAAATAGAGAACAAAACTAAATCTGTGTTTCTCTCTATATATAATATATATATATATATATAATAAAATTACATATTTTTCGATCGTAATAAACAGGCAACTACTGATTTCTATCTATCAGTTCATCTAATAGTCAATCTGTCTATACATGTACGTATGTATGTACATATGTATGTATATATACATATGTATACATATAAACATGTCTACTTCTCGCTCTTATCTATAAGAGCTGTAGACACCAAAATAAAAATTGACATAAGTTTCTAATACTAGCAAGAACTATTAAACTTTTATACTTCTAGTCTTAGACTTATGTAACATATAGACACATAATATGTATACATGTGTATGTAGAGGAAAATATACAAACTTCCATATTTTTTTTAAAGTTAATAATCCTATATACTATTGCTACGTTTGATCACCAGAGAAACGAATATTATTTTAGTTTAGTTTCATTCCATGCACATGTTTATTTATATATGTATACTTAGTTAATATTTATATGTGTACATATGTATATTTACATTTACCTATATGTATGTATGTATGCAACAATGTCAAAAATGCAAATCTATAAAAGGTACATATACTTTAGGTACCAGCAAAACAGCTGTTTCTCTCCTTGGAGCTTAACTAGTTTACTCTTAGCCGGCCTCTGACTCTCACACACATAACACAATTCTGCGATTGTTGTTGTTTTTGGGCCAAAGTACACAACTTAGTTGTTATTGCTGCCTCTGACGGCTGTTAGGCGCACGCATACACTATTCGAATGTGCGAGAGCCATCCACGAAAAATCGAAGCGAAAGAGCGAAATGCAGCCACAGATTGAGGGAGAGAGAGCCAGTAAAAAGAGAGAGAGAGAGAGAGAGCGCGCACACGGGAGCAACTGTGGGCAGCCGCCACCGGCAATACAGTGTAAACTTTCAAGTTTTTTCGACAGCGTCCGTCAGTTGAATATTAAGCTTTGGTGCCAGCCGTACGCAGTGCTCGAGCTCCCGGGCAGAAACAGTTGTGAAATATTCAACGTAAATTGTACCGAGGTGGTCTACCTTCCCAAACAGAAATTCAACGCACATACAAATACATATGTATGTATTACAAGCACAAACATACATAGTATGTATGTAAAGAGATAGACACACACACACACACACACGCATGTACATTTTTGTGTTAGCTAGTTGCTAATTCTAAAGAGTAATTTGTTAATTCCTTGTGTTTTTTTATCTGCGCTGAAGTTAATTTTGTCGATTTCGATTTCAAAACCACGCTAGTTTATATAACAGTTATGTGATTTATACATTTGCTAAATTGTTTTACATACACTATAACTGTAAAATCGTCTTGTATTATTTCAACTGTTTTTAGTTATCACAGCGAGTGCTAACTGTGCGGTAAAGTTGAATTGAAAGTGTGCTCGAAAGATTCTATACAGGGATAACAACAGGGAGCAGCTGGACATATTGTGATTCCAAAGGGTATGTTCAAAAATATATATGTACATACGTACATATATATTATACATGTACATATGTATATTTAGTTGCGTGCATACTAAATTGCTAATTGATACGTAACAAGCGCTTATGTATGAATGTAACTGCACTTTTACAAGCATACATTCATTACATAGACACACAGACAGACACACACACATGCATATGTAGAAGTGTTCCCCCATACTCCCTTCATTATCTATGCCTGCTGTTCGGGTCCATTTTATTATGCCCCATATATCTAGCCTTCTTATGGTTTCGCTGCCAGCCAAAACGTGCTTGACAAAATGAAGGCATGTGCCATCACTTACGTTAATAAAATACATACATACACACATATGTATATATAGATAGTGACGTATGTATAAAAACAACGAATCCAAAGCAAACAGCATTGTGGATAAAATACAAAATATTTGTATTATGAATTTCATAGCCTAAAAGTCAAGCAGCGTACAGCAAATCAAAGTTTAGCTATTTAATTTAATTGCTTTCACTTTGCGTGACAATCAATCAAAATTGACGAACATTGAACAAATGTTGATTTATTTGCATGTGCGAATACTTATTCTACTCACTGTGCTGTCTGCGAACTAGTCCTAGTTCCTTTTTGCGACGCAGACGAACAAATAAATGTGTGTGTGTGTGTGTGTGTGTGCATCTATGGCATAAGAAATACATACATACATACGTATACATAATGTGCAAGTGTATATATGTATGTATGTATTTATATATAGGCTTTTTTCTGCGTTTGTCACTTTATCATTTTAACGGATAATCAATGTGTCCAGAGCAGGCGCGGCCTATGCCGCAGTGGAAACGTCTTTGACCTTAGCAACGTGTGCTCAAGATCGTGCATAAGTGTGCGCACATACATACATACGCGCAATTCTATATATATGTACATACATACGTACGTACGTAGGTATGTTCGTATGAGCGAATATAGAGTAAAAGTGAGCGGCAATCAACAAGCAAGCAGCAGCAGCGTAATCACCAAATCATTCGACCAAACCGAACGACCGACTGCCCGTCTGACCGTCTGACTGCTGTGCACATTCTAAGGCGGCTCGTCTGTCTGTCTTATTATTGCAATAATCATTACATAATCGGTCATTGCGGCAAGCAAGCATACATATGTATGTACATACGCATATAATAAGGTGGACACACATACACACATACAAGGATAAATCATTGTATTGACATGGGTGTGCGACCCGCAACTCTTACACGTGTAAACAAAGCGAAAAGTCTCCATCAAATTGGG